TCCCCCCCCCTCTCTCTCTCTCTCTCACAACACCCTCCACAATTATTTACAAAAAGAAAAACAACAACCCAAAACCAAATAAACAGCAGACCATACCTAGAGGTGTGACAAATGGATCAAGGCCCGTTCACCTAAGCTGATCTCAGATTGTTTTTTTGTGAAAAAATTCCCATGATATCAATGCAGAATATTTGCATCATGTATATCCCGGTTACAACTTTTATGATAATAAAAAGTTCTAAGTGTACATAATTGTTGGTATGTCTACCAGAAGCCATAATAATATAATATAATTAAATTGTTTAACCGGTGATGGGGCAAACAGACGGTGGCTTAGACTGTCTTGTCTGCCCAAGATTCTCCGGTTTCAGTGCTCTTTTTGTTTTCATCACATCGTCTTGCCGCTGGAAGGCCAGATGTTTTCAGACATCTTTTTACATCGTGGCTTGGTTTTTGTTTGTCATTTTAAAGAATGTAAATGTATATACACGTACCTTGAAAAAAATGTTTTCAATGTTGCCTTACTGAACTTCCTTTGAGTATTAATTAATGGAAGCAACTATCTATGTTGTAAACATTACACTTACTGGTGATAATATTCGAAGAAATCGTCACACGTATTCTATTGGAAAGTGAGACTGTGTATTTTGAATTTTTAAGCTTTAATGGGATTACCTTTGTAAAATTGACTGTCTGGTAACATATCAATCTTATCATTCCAGTGTGTGTGCGTGTGTGAGTGGTGTGTGTGTGTGTGTGTGTGTGTGTGTGTGTGTGTGTGTGTGTGAGAGATAGATAGATAGAGAGAGAGAGAGAGACAGAGAGAGAGAGAGAGAGAGAGAGAGAGAGAGAGAGAGAGAGAGAGAGAGAGAGAGAGAGGGCAGCTCTTTTTTAATCTAAAGTTGTGTACTTTAAAAAATAAATAATCAACAAAGGTGCGGGACGTTTCTATTTTTGACTGTACGCATCCGGCAGCAAAATAGCGCCATAAGTTCACGTTACGGGTACTTTTACAACATTTATACTTTTTTTTGGGTCCTTGATTAATTAATATAAAATGAAAGGATACCATGAGTCATAATATATATCGATTGATGTACAATAAAATAATACATACATGTATAGTGTAATACGATGTTTTTTGTGCAGTCCTGGTGAAGCTAAGATTGAGCATTCTACACGCTGTTTTCATTGCCTGTTTGACATTGATTTTTCCATACATACACGGCTATTTCTTGGCTCTACGGTGAGTGTGTCGGGGGGGGGGGGAAGAGAGAGAGAGAGAGAGAGAGAGAGAGAGAGAGAGAGAGAGAGAGAGAGAGAGAGAGAGAGAGAGAGAGAGAGAGAGAGAGAGAGAAGGCTCAATCTAATATATATGCATGATAATAAAAAGTTGATTTCGAACTGTGTTATTTTTACCTCTCAGCAAACGTTTGCAGGAGGTGCGGCTTGATGGATGAACGTACCGGTGAATCATTTAAAATAAATCAAATAACTTTGTTCTCCTATGTGCTCAAAACAAGAGCCACTCAATACCCTTCACACGCTCTGCTTCATGATATCACCTGATGACTGTGACGAAATATACATTTACAAACTTCTCCTTCTTTCGTCCGTCATCTCCTCCTCTCACTCCTCCTCTTCGTCCTATTAATTCCAAAGAGCTGTCCCTGTCGTTTTAAGCAAGATAAATTCTGAAATTATGCAAACTGAGCCCAAAAAGTGAAATTATGCGATTCTGTTAATTTTAACAAAGAACGATTTTATAAAGGAAAATAATCAGAAATTATGCCCAAAAAAAGATAAAATTTTGCTAAATTATACGGGGTGCAACACCCACGGGGACAGAAAGAGAAAACAGTTAAAATGTGATCAGTCTAACCTGTAAAATACTTATATGGCTCTCCCCGAGCAGTCGACTACAACAATCAATTAATGATAGTACAGCGCGTAAATTGTGGTAGACAACTGGAATTCTGACCGTACTGGAGGAAGTAGGACATTAATCCATTCTTGTAATGCTATGTGTGTACGTTTCACATTATCTGCCCCTGGAATAGGAAAAGTCTAAGTAGTAGAGAACCACTGAAGTCCATTTTGTTGAATCTCCTTTTTAAAAAAGATTCAACTGGAATGTTTTATTTTTATCCCATTCAGCCATAGAAGGCCCTCATATGCTTTGCTTGGTCGCATAGCCCGCCTAAAAAAAGGAAGTTAGTGGGTCGATAGGGTAGAAAATCAAAATGAATTGCAAAGCAAGCCATTAAAATCAGAAACCCATCGGCTGCGTTCTTGTGCGGTTTAGGTTCACTCTCTTGAATATTATATATATATATATATATATATATATATATATATATATATATATATACATATATATATATATGATATTTATATATATATTTATATATATATTTATATATATATTTATATATATATATATATATAATATTTATATATATATTTATATATATATATATATATATATATATATATATATATATATATATATATAGATATATATATGTATATATATATATATGTATAGAGCTGAAGCGGGGGGGGGGGGATGGATTTTTTTTTATATATATATATTTATATATATATATGTATATATACATATATATATATATATCTAGATCTATGTATATATATGCTGATATATGTGCATTTATATACATCTATACATATACATACATGTCGACATATACATAGCATGACGCACCAGTTCGCATTAGGCCTCCTCTAAAAGTTGCATCAATCGCGCCTTATTGCAAGCTACAGCAGTCTTAACAGGTCAACAGAAGTCTGCAGATGTTATTTTTCCCAAATTTTGTTTGCCTGCTGAGATCATGGCTACGTTTAGTAAAGAGGAGAGAGCTTTTTGTATTGAACATTATCTCTCCACAAACTCACCATCCCTGACATTTCGTTAGTTCTGCGCACGGCATGGAGAGAATGCTTAGGTGCCCTCAAAACCTTTGGCGTCATGAGTAGAGAAGTTCCGTCAGTTAAGATCTATAGCGAATTAGAACTAAAAAGTTCTTTAAAAAATGACCACTTCAGGTAGAACACACACCATGCACAGCCCTTTAAACGTCACCAGAGCTAGGCCGAGATGACATGGATCAGAGCATGGCAATGAGTTCATGATTCCTCGATTGTCTTGTAAAGAGGGAT